GCTTTAGCAGTCGCTTCACGACCACCTCATCCGTGGCAAGTCCCTGGCAGCGGTTAGGTCAGCACGGACTCATTCCCAAAAGTTTTCCGATAATAAAAGGGTTTGAATATTATTTTGTTGTGAATTGTATTTCATTTTTGATTTTATTGAAAGCCCTTACAATCTTATCATAGGTCAAGTACAGAGATGTCATTGGTCGAACACACCTTCTATATTAGCTACATCAGTTAGGATGAATTAATGTGTATCTCAAAAAAAAAAAAAAAAAAAAATAAAATAAAAGATTGAGTATTTGCAGTTTTGATACAGAGAATTATTATTAGTATTTTATTAACTCCATGGGAGTATCCTTGCCTCTTGCAAATTTGAGGCTTCTAGCTCGTAAATTGCAGGAGATATAAACTTTTGCGGTTTGCCACGCTTCCTGTGGGCGGACATATGTCCGCCATAGCTTTTTGGTCTTGGGTGGTCAGCCCAAGATTATATATCATATTTCAAGTCTCTAGCTTCAATAGCGCAGAAATAAACTGCGTTTATACAGACAGACGGACAGCAAGACGGACATTGCAGGAAACGAATATTTTCTATACTCGTACTTGTGGTACACAAGCTAGAGGGAGTAAACAATTTATGGCTCCTATATATTATAGTAATTTTGGTTAGCTCTTATTTTAACATTAACACATAAAAAAATTTTAATAACTGAATTTACAAAATTTTTTATATTATTTCACTAGATGCGAGGAAGAGAGTTAAATACAAATTTATTTACTTTTCGTTTGGGAGACTATTTCACGAGTGAGTTCAATCAAGAGCCGCTGTGCCTCTTACTTTGCAATTCCCTAACTCAATGAACAGATAACATATGCAAGGCAATTAATTTGTCACACAAACGTAATAATTGTACGACTAAATATGTTTTTATTTAAAGAGTTAGCTCAGCCCCAAAGCGACATTGACCCGCATGCAGTTTTTGACCCGGCGGGCACTTGGCCACGCTGCCCAACACTAAGCGGTGGTCCACCGTGGGCAGCTCCGTTGTAGTTACATTGCTGCCCACCGGATGCAGCACGTCCACAGTGGTGCCGTCATCAACTATAGTACTATTGTCAGCTATAGCAATATTGTATGCTGCAGTCCTGTTGTAGTCGAAGAAGTCGTCATTGGGGAACACGAGGCGATCGTCGACCACGCGCGTCTGGTCGATAAAGATATTCCAAGAAACAATGCCCAAGATCAGCATGTGTACGGCTTTCAACTGCTGTCGCGTTTGGCTGCTTTCACTGAACTTGAGAGACTGAATCGCGACGCGCATGGAGTGGATCAAAGAGCGTCCGAGCAGATTTTCGTAGTACAGGTACTAGCGATAAGAACTCAATATACAAACAAACAAAAAAAAGCAACAGCAAAGTACATTTTAGAAGCTAGTACGCTTTACAGTTCCAAACTAGAAAGTAAAAGCTCCTTTCCAACTGCTCGAGTTGTTAAAAGCCGAGCTGAGAAAACTCTACAGTGCCGCCTGTTCGTATATGCCCAGACTCCACTATAACTCAAAATCATTTAGCCTAGCCTACTTCTACTTCTTATTGACATTATTATTTTGATCATTTTTTCTCCATTTGGTTTTGATGATGATGAATCATAAATATATACATAAATGTATGTATATGTAGATGGAAAAAGCCCGTTTGTAGCCTAGACAAAAAATTCGAGTGCTTTTAATTCTTAGATATATTCCTATTTTGTATATTGGGGTAATAATTTTCGCTTTTTACTAACTCTTCGCGATGAGTAAACAAACGGTGCCCATATACACATTTACTGAATCAAACATAAAGTAATAAATTATAATTATAATTGGAGATTTAAATAAATAAATTTGTAATAATCAATATTAACAAATAATAAAATTCGATTAAAAGAAAACTTTACAGTCAGAGTTGATTTAACTGAGTGAAAAAATTTCATCACGCTTTAGTTTCTAGTATTTCTTAATTAACTGATAACAGAAATTAATACAAATCGAATCTGGAGATATTGTTTTATTATGATAGAAATTATATTTTGGTAAATTTGACTCTTTGAATGATCATTTATTCAAATTATATCTGATATCAAATACATTAACTATAGCCAATGTGGGTTGGGTTTTATGGAAACTTTAATATACATACATATTTATATCGAATCAGAAAAAAAGTCTTAGTTTGTTTGGCTAACTAGGCTATGCTTCAAGCCTTCTGGCGACAGTGTCCGCCCCATAGTTCGGTTCCTTCGGGGCATATGGGATTCGTGTCAAGTAGGTTGCGTTCCTCAATCGATTCCGGTTGAATAATTACGGCTTTGCCCTTGGGGTCTTTAGATCCTTGAGCTTCATTGCCTTCATTCTGGTTGCGAAATGTGAAGTCTGTTTTGAAAATTGAAGCAATATTGTCATCCACTGTATTAAGTTGATCAGATTTTGGTTCGGCAGTGTTGTGATAGCTGAGATTGAATGCTTCATCATTTGCTGCATAGGCCTGCAATAGCTGCGCATTTAGCAGGGCTATCAGCAGCCAGCCCAGCGATAAGAGGCCGTCCTTAGCTTCCATATTCACGACTTCGCTGCTCACGAGCTTCTGTTGGCGTCGTTTGCTAAAGTGCGACTTAAATCAGCTCATCGAAAGGTTTTCAAATATTGTTTCTAAATCAGATTTCAACGGAACTGATATGCCGAGATCGGCTGCTCGCTCTCATATGTGCATATACATATTTATCTTATTTATACCGAGAGAACTTTCCGATTCTAGTTGCTTTTAAGAGATTGCTTTTAGAGATTTTAAGAAATTGTCTCATCAATTGATTTTGGGATATTAGCTGCGCTTAGTTTTCCGTTAGTTTCTTACACAGAAATTCAAATTATCCAGACGAATTTTTTTTCGATTTAGTCGAGACTCTGGTACAGTCCAGTTTTATTAAAATACAGTAAAAATAAAACATGTAGAGATTAATGTCCGTCTCCTATGATTTCGCGTTCTTTTCTTTAGTAATTTTTTGGATTCTTGTTGGGCTTATTTGAAAATATTAAAAAAATTCAAGTTATAGAGGTCCAGAGTAACAGCTAGTCGATCATTATTTACATCTGTTGAACAGTTCTTAGGTCTGTTAACCGGAAATAATTGATCGGTAGTACGCAAATTCAATTTATACGAATTCAATTAGCTGCAGTCTCCTAAGCCTCCTTAAGGTATCCAAGGTTAACAATATGTATTGCATTTATCATGGAACTATAAAAATATTATCAATAATAAATTGATTAATTCATACTTTGTACGTTATTCCTAATGCACTGATCATTGAAGTAAAAATAAAGCTGCTTAACCTCAAGATGCCAATCTGGAAAATGGAAAAATGAAAAGCTTTCGGAGGCAGCATTAGCATAAGCTGCAAAAGCTTCAAAGTACTCGCTGTTTTTGTACTCAATGCCCCCATAAAAACTCAAGCTTATTGCATGCGCGTTTATTATGAACCACTCTAGGCCTCCCTTGCGACAATGATTTCCAAAAAGCTTAAGGCCACTTCCGCAGATGGGGAGCGTATCCAGTGTAATGCGTGGTCAGATCTCAACGGTTAGTGGATCAATTTTAGACGTTTCCTCTATGATCTCTGCGGGCTTGACGGTTGAAGGTGCTGTCTCCATGTGAAGGAGCTGTTGATCCGTAGGGAGATTGTTGCTTGTGAGCTTCTTCTTTATTTGCTGCACCTGTGTACTTCTATGCAAAGCGGATCGGCTGGTCTCATTCTTTTGCAATAAGAATCCCTCTGCCAGATGTAAATCGTCCCCCGCACTGCCGCTCTCCGTTCTCATCGATTCGGCTACAATTGGAGGAGTTTTGTGTTTCAGATGAATCGTGTTGGCTGCGCACAGTGCCAACGAGAAATGCATCCACAACAACAACAACAACATGGGCACAAGGCTGCGATGCGTAAAACTGGCTTCAGATGAATTGAAATCATGTTAAAACACGTTTATTCTACCCAAATTCGCATCAAAGACTAATTGCGAAGAGACTCAGCGCCCATGCACAAGGCTGCCCAGTCTCTAATTGTTATTATTGTTGTTGTTGCTGTTCTCAGTTGTATCCGACGATAAGGGAAAACATGAAACACAAACTTGTATAATTGCATTCATAATGAGATTGCCTGGCAATAGCTTCTCGATTGTCTCATTCGCTTGAGAATCTCAAAAATGCACTCACTATAGAAAATAAGTTGTAATTGATTTAGTCATTAAGCCGAGCTTATTTGAGTCAGCTTAAAACAAGTATTTGACTATTCAGCTCGCTTAAACTTATATCCGCAGTTGCACTTACCTCAACAAGCACCCACGCATAAACACGCATGGGCTGCAGTGTGCGCTTACTATGAGAACTTAATTGTTTAATAACTTTTTTTATGGACGTACGATCTTCATGAAACTTTCAGATTATGATTATAACATGAATATGCATGTTGCCAAAGCACAAGTCTCTAGTATTTGAAATACGCTTTTTACAAAAGTGATGGTGAGGGGGTGAATTTAGAGGTGGGGGTTAATTTTAACAAAAACCGAAATTGTATAAATTGCACGTAAGCATACATTAAAAATTTGGAGACTCTAGCAATAAAGGTGTAGAAGATATAATTTTATAACTGGTTTTCGATAAGGGTTTTTTTCGATAAAAAAAAGATCGAGATGAGTTATCGATTTTTAATGATAAACTTGATATGCGCGCTGTAATTACGGACATTTAAAAAAAAATTTGAAGTCTCTAGCTCTTATATCTTCTGAAATCGACGCGTTCATACATACATACGGACAGACAGACGGACAGGGCCAAATCAACTCAGCTCGTCACCCTGATCAAGAATATATATACTTTGTGGGGTCTGCCACGCCTCCTTCTCCCTGTTACATACATTTCAACAAAACCATTATACCCTGATTTCCCATTGAAAATGGGTTCAGGGTATAAAAAAAAAATAGAATGTTGCAGTGGGGTGTTACCAACTAGAGAATACTCATTCACATCCCATCAGCAATTTAGCAGCTAAGTTTAGCTCTGATACTGTAGAAAATGCAGTTTTTCCCGATTGGCCACGCCCCTACTACTCTACTCATTTATTACCAGTTCTTAAAACGAGCTGAAGTTAACGTGCCTGCAAAATTTGGAAGCCTATGCTCCAAAAATATGAAAATTATCCGCCATAGCTTTTTAGTCTTGGGAGGTCAGCCCGAGTATATATATCATATTTCAGGTCTCTAGCATCAATACTGCCGAATACCTAAATTTGTACAATGCGTATTTGAACTACTGGAGTCTTGTTTGGAAAATATACGCATATCATCGTTTTAATCATGATCTCAAAATTGCATGAAGATATTCATGCAAGTGTTGTTCCTTGAGTAAGCGGAAAAGTATTAATTTCTCGAAGGCCTCAGGAGATCTCGTAGTCGATCACTCTCAACTAGAGATTTCTAACTTGCTATATAAAATTTGATATTGTTCTTACATATATATATATATCTTTCTTTTTTTCATTTTAGTTACTTTTCTTCTAAGGACTCCGGATAGAGCAGGATAGCTATTAAAGTACAGAGAAGTAGAAAGAGTTTCATGGAGCAAGAATGGAACTGTTTTTAGATGACTGTAGCTGATTGAATTTGTAATGGTATTAAAATAAATATTTAAATTGTTCTTACATAAAACGCCATTGGAAGACCAAATTGCCATCTGCCTGAGATTATATAAGCAGATAATTAAATAAAAGCATTTATTTCTATTCATTATATAACCATTTCGAATGCAGTCAGGCACACTCAAGAATATCGCTATACGAGTATAAGCTCAACCTAATTTGATATTCTACATAGTTGAAGAAGACTAAATCTCAAACATGAAGCTCGCACTGATTCTTGTGGCCGCTTTAGCAGTCGCTTCACGACCACCTCATCCGTGGCAAGTCCCTGGCAGCGGTTAGGTCAGCACGGACTCATTCCCAAAAGTTTTCCGATAATAAAAGGGTTTGAATATTATTTTGTTGTGAATTGTATTTCATTTTTGATTTTATTGAAAGCCCTTACAATCTTATCATAGGTCAAGTACAGAGATGTCATTGGTCGAACACACCTTCTATATTAGCTACATCAGTTAGGATGAATTGATGTGTATCTCAAAATAAAAAAAATAAAAAAATAAAATAAAAGATTGAGTATTTGCAGTTTTGATACAGAGAATTATTATTAGTATTTTATTAACTCCATGGGAGTATCCTTGCCTCTTGCAAATTTGAGGCTTCTAGCTCGTAAATTGCAAGAGATATAAACTTTTGCGGTTTGCCACGCTTCCTGTGGGCGGACATATGTCCGCCATAGCTTTTTGGTCTTGGGTGGTCAGCCCAAGATTATATATCATATTTCAAGTCTCTAGCTTCAATAGCGCAGAAATAAACTGCGTTTATACAGACAGACGGACAGCAAGACGGACATTGCAGGAAACGAATATTTTCTATACTCGTACTTGTGGTACACAAGCTAGAGGGAGTAAACAATTTATGGCTCCTATATATTATAGTAATTTTGGTTAGCTCTTATTTTAACATTAACACATAAAAAAATTTTAATAACTGAATTTACAAAATTTTTTATATTATTTCACTAGATGCGAGGAAGAGAGTTAAATACAAATTTATTTACTTTTCGTTTGGGAGACTATTTCACGAGTGAGTTCAATCAAGAGCCGCTGTGCCTCTTACTTTGCAATTCCCTAACTCAATGAACAGATAACATATGCAAGGCAATTAATTTGTCACACAAACGTAATAATTGTACGACTAAATATGTTTTTATTTAAAGAGTTAGCTCAGCCCCAAAGCGACATTGACCCGCATGCAGTTTTTGACCCGGCGGGCACTTGGCCACGCTGCCCAACACTAAGCGGTGGTCCACCGTGGGCAGCTCCGTTGTAGTTACATTGCTGCCCACCGGATGCAGCACGTCCACAGTGGTGCCGTCATCAACTATAGTACTATTGTCAGCTATAGCAATATTGTATGCTGCAGTCCTGTTGTAGTCGAAGAAGTCGTCATTGGGGAACACGAGGCGATCGTCGACCACGCGCGTCTGGTCGATAAAGATATTCCAAGAAACAATGCCCAAGATCAGCATGTGTACGGCTTTCAACTGCTGTCGCGTTTGGCTGCTTTCACTGAACTTGAGAGACTGAATCGCGACGCGCATGGAGTGGATCAAAGAGCGTCCGAGTAGATTTTCGTAGTACAGGTACTAGCAATAAGAACTCAATATACAAACAAACAAAAAAAAAGCAACAGCAAAGTACATTTTAGAAGCTAGTACGCTTTACAGTTCCAAACTAGAAAGTAAAAGCTCCTTTCCAACTGCTCGAGTTGTTAAAAGCCGAGCTGAGAAAACTCTACAGTGCCGCCTGTTCGTATATGCCCAGACTCCACTATAACTCAAAATCATTTAGCCTAGCCTACTTCTACTTCTTATTGACATTATTATTTTGATCATTTTTTCTCCATTTGGTTTTGATGATGATGAATCATAAATATATACATAAATGTATGTATATGTAGATGGAAAAAGCCCGTTTGTAGCCTAGACAAAAAAATTCGAGTGCTTTTAATTCTTAGATATATTCCTATTTTGTATATTGGGGTAATAATTTTCGCTTTTTACTAACTCTTCGCGATGAGTAAACAAACGGTGCCCATATACACATTTACTGAATCAAACATAAAGTAATAAATTATAATTATAATTGGAGATTTAAATAAATAAATTTGTAATAATCAATATTAACAAATAATAAAATTCGATTAAAAGAAAACTTTACAGTCGGAGTTGATTTAACTGAGTGAAAAAATTTCATCACGCTTTAGTTTCTAGTATTTCTTAATTAACTGATAACAGAAATTAATACAAATCGAATCTGAAGATATTGTTTTATTATGATAGAAATTATATTTTGGTAAATTTGACTCTTTGAATGATCATTTATTCAAATTATATCTGATATCAAATACATTAACTATAGCCAATGTGGGTTGGGTTTTATGGAAACTTTAATATACATACATATTTATATCGAATCAGAAAAAAAGTCTTAGTTTGTTTGGCTAACTAGGCTATGCTTCAAGCCTTCTGGCGACAGTGTCCGCCCCATAGTTCGGTTCCTTCGGGGCATATGGGATTCGTGTCAAGTAGGTTGCGTTCCTCAATCGATTCCGGTTGAATAATTACGGCTTTGCCCTTGGGGTCTTTAGATCCTTGAGCTTCATTGCCTTCATTCTGGTTGCGAAATGTGAAGTCTGTTTTGAAAATTGAAGCAATATTGTCATCCACTGTATTAAGTTGATCAGATTTTGGTTCGGCAGTGTTGTGATAGCTGAGATTGAATGCTTCATCATTTGCTGCATAGGCCTGCAATAGCTGCGCATTTAGCAGGGCTATCAGCAGCCAGCCCAGCGATAAGAGGCCGTCCTTAGCTTCCATATTCACGACTTCGCTGCTCACGAGCTTCTGTTGGCGTCGTTTGCTAAAGTGCGACTTAAATCAGCTCATCGAAAGGTTTTCAAATATTGTTTCCAAATCAGATTTCAACGGAACTGATATGCCGAGATCGGCTGCTCGCTCTCATATGTGCATATACATATTTATCTTATTTATACCGAGAGAACTTTCCGATTCTAGTTGCTTTTAAGAGATTGCTTTTAGAGATTTTAAGAAATTGTCTCATCAATTGATTTTGGGATATTAGCTGCGCTTAGTTTTCCGTTAGTTTCTTACACAGAAATTCAAATTATCCAGACGAATTTTTTTTCGATTTAGTCGAGACTCTGGTACAGTCCAGTTTTATTAAAATACAGTAAAAATAAAACATGTAGAGATTAATGTCCGTCTCCTATGATTTCGCGTTCTTTTCTTTAGTAATTTTTTGGATTCTTGTTGGGCTTATTTGAAAATATTAAAAAAATTCAAGTTATAGAGGTCCAGAGTAACAGCTAGTCGATCATTATTTACATCTGTTGAACAGTTCTTAGGTCTGTTAACCGGAAATAATTGATCGGTAGTACGCAAATTCAATTTATACGAATTCAATTAGCTGCAGTCTCCTAAGCCTCCTTAAGGTATCCAAGGTTAACAATATGTATTGCATTTATCATGGAACTATAAAAATATTATCAATAATAAATTGATTAATTCATACTTTGTACGTTATTCCTAATGCACTGATCATTGAAGTAAAAATAAAGCTGCTTAACCTCAAGATGCCAATCTGGAAAATGGAAAAATGAAAAGCTTTCGGAGGCAGCATTAGCATAAGCTGCAAAAGCTTCAAAGTACTCGCTGTTTTTGTACTCAATGCCCCCATAAAAACTCAAGCTTATTGCATGCGCGTTTATTATGAACCACTCTAGGCCTCCTTGCGACAATGATTTCCAAAAAGCTTAAGGCCACTTCCGCAGATGGGGAGCGTATCCAGTGTAATGCGTGGTCCGATGTCAACGGTTAGTGGATCAATTTTAGACGTTTCCTCTATGATCTCTGCGGGCTTGACGGTTGAAGGTGCTGTCTCCATGTGAAGGAGCTGTTGATCCGTAGGGAGATTGTTGCTTGTGAGCTTCTTCTTTATTTGCTGCACCTGTGTACTTCTATGCAAAGCGGATCGGCTGGTCTCATTCTTTTGCAATAAGAATCCCTCTGCCAGATGTAAATCGTCCCCCGCACTGCCGCTCTCCGTTCTCATCGATTCGGCTACAATTGGAGGAGTTTTGTGTTTCAGATGAATCGTGTTGGCTGCGCACAGTGCCAACGAGAAGTGCATCCACAACAACAACAACATGGGCACGGCGATGCGTAAAACTGGCTTCAGATGAATTGAAATCATGTTAAAACACGTTTACTCTACCCAAATTCGCATCAAAGACTAATTGCGAAGAGACTCAGCGCCCATGCACAAGGCTGCCCAGTCTCTAATTGTTATTATTGTTGTTGTTGCTGTTCTCAGTTGTATCCGACGATAAGGGAAAACATGAAACACAAACTTGTATAATTGCATTCATAATGAGATTGCCTGGCAATAGCTTCTCGATTGTCTCATTCGCTTGAGAATCTCAAAAATGCACTCACTATAGAAAATAAGTTGTAATTGATTTAGTCATTAAGCCGAGCTTATTTGAGTCAGCTTAAAACAAGTATTTGACTATTCAGCTCGCTTAAACTTATATCCGCAGTTGCACTTACCTCAACAAGCACCCACGCATAAACACGCATGGGCTGCAGTGTGCGCTTACTATGAGAACTTAATTGTTTAATAACTTTTTTTTATGGACGTACGATCTTCATGAAACTTTCAGATTAAGATTATAACATGAATATGCATGTTGCCAAAGCACAAGTCTCTAGTATTTGAAATACGCTTTTTACAAAAGTGATGGTGAGGGGGTGAATTTAGAGGTGGGGGTTAATTTTAACAAAAACCGAAATTGTATAAATTGCACGTAAGCATACATTAAAAATTTGGAGACTCTAGCAATAAAGGTGTAGAAGATATAATTTTATAACTGGTTTTCGATAAGGGATTTTTTCGATAAAAAAAGATCGAGATGAGTTATCGATTTTTAATGATAAACTTGATATGCGCGCTGTAATTACGGACATTTAAAAAAAAATTTGAAGTCTCTAGCTCTTATATCTTCTGAAATCGACGCGTTCATACATACGGACAGACGGACAGACAGACGGACAGGGCCAAATCAACTCAGCTCGTCACCCTGATCAAGAATATATATACTTTGTGGGGTCTGCCACGCCTCCTTCTCCCTGTTACATACATTTCAACAAAACCATTATACCCTGATTTCCCATTGAAAATGGGTTCAGGGTATAAAAAAAAAAAATAGAATGTTGCAGTGGGGTGTTACCAACTAGAGAATACTCATTCACATCCCATCAGCAATTTAGCAGCTAAGTTTAGCTCTGATACTGTAGAAAATGCAGTTTTTCCCGATTGGCCACGCCCCTACTACTCTACTCATTTATTACCAGTTCTTAAAACGAGCTGAAGTTAACGTGCCTGCAAAATTTGGAAGCCTATGGTCCAAAAATATGAAAATTATCCGCCATAGCTTTTTAGTCTTGGGAGGTCAGCCCGAGTATATATATCATATTTCAGGTCTCTAGCATCAATACTGCCGAATACCTAAATTTGTACAATGCGTATTTGAACTACTGGAGTCTTGTTTGGAAAATATACGCATATCATCGTTTTAATCATGATCTCAAAATTGCATGAAGATATTCATGCAAGTGTTGTTCCTTGAGTAAGCGGAAAAGTATTAATTTCTCGAAGGCCTCAGGAGATCTCGTAGTCGATCACTCTCAACTAGAGATTTCTAACTTGCTATATAAAATTTGATATTGTTCTTACATATATATATATATCTTTCTTTTTTTTCATTTTAGTTACTTTTCTTCTAAGGACTCCGGATAGAGCAGGATAGCTATTAAAGTACAGAGAAGTAGAAAGAGTTTCATGGAGCAAAAATGGAACTGTTTTTAGATGACTGTAGCTGATTGAATTTGTAATGGTATTAAAATAAATATTTAAATTGTTCTTACATAAAACGCCATTGGAAGACCAAATTGCCATCTGCCTGAGATTATATAAGCAGATAATTAAATAAAAGCATTTATTTCTATTCATTATATAACCATTTCGAATGCAGTCAGACACACTCAAGAATATCGCTATACGAGTATAAGCTCAACCTAATTTGATATTCTACATAGTTGAAGAAGACTAAATCTCAAACATGAAGCTCGCACTGATTCTTGTGGCCGCTTTAGCAGTCGCTTCACGACCACCTCATCCGTGGCAAGTCCCTGGCAGCGGTTAGGTCAGCACGGACTCATTCCCAAAAGTTTTCCGATAATAAAAGGGTTTGAATATTATTTTGTTGTGAATTGTATTTCATTTTTGATTTTATTGAAAGCCCTTACAATCTTATCATAGGTCAAGTACAGAGATGTCATTGGTCGAACACACCTTCTATATTAGCTACATCAGTTAGGATGAATTGATGTGTATCTCAAAATAAAAAAAATAAAAAAATAAAATAAAAGATTGAGTATTTGCAGTTTTGATACAGAGAATTATTATTAGTATTTTATTAACTCCATGGGAGTATCCTTGCCTCTTGCAAATTTGAGGCTTCTAGCTCGTAAATTGCAGGAGATATAAACTTTTGCGGTTTGCCACGCTTCCTGTGGGCGGACATATGTCCGCCATAGCTTTTTGGTCTTGGGTGGTCAGCCCAAGATTATATATCATATTTCAAGTCTCTAGCTTCAATAGCGCAGAAATAAACTGCGTTTATACAGACAGACGGACAGCAAGACGGACATTGCAGGAAACGAATATTTTCTATACTCGTACTTGTGGTACACAAGCTAGAGGGAGTAAACAATTTATGGCTCCTATATATTATAGTAATTTTGGTTAGCTCTTATTTTAACATTAACACATAAAAAAATTTTAATAACTGAATTTACAAAATTTTTTATATTATTTCACTAGATGCGAGGAAGAGAGTTAAATACAAATTTATTTACTTTTCGTTTGGGAGACAATTTCACGAGTGAGTTCAATCAAGAGCCGCTGTGCCTCTTACTTTGCAATTCCCTAACTCAATGAACAGATAACATATGCAAGGCAATTAATTTGTCACACAAACGTACTAATTGTACGACTAAATATGTTTTTATTTAAAGAGTTAGCTCAGCCCCAAAGCGACATTGACCCGCATGCAGTTTTTGACCCGGCGGGCACTTGGCCACGCTGCCCAACACTAAGCGGTGGTCCACCGTGGGCAGCTCCGTTGTAGTTACATTGCTGCCCACCGGATGCAGCACGTCCACAGTGGTGCCGTCATCAACTATAGTACTATTGTCAGCTATAGCAATATTGTATGCTGCAGTCCTGTTATCACCCACGGTGGGGTTGTAGTCGAAGAAGTCGTCATTGGGGAACACGAGGCGATCGTCGACCACGCGCGTCTGGTCGATAAAGATATTCCAAGAAACAATGCCCAAGATCAGCATGTGTACGGCTTTCAACTGCTGTCGCGTTTGGCTGCTTTCACTGAACTTGAGAGACTGAATCGCGACGCGCATGGAGTGGATCAAAGAGCGTCCGAGCAGATTTTCGTAGTACAGGTACTAGCGATAAGAACTCAATATGCAAACAAACAAAAAAAAGCAACAGCAAAGTACATTTTAGAAGCTAGTACGCTTTACAGTTCCAAACTAGAAAGTAAAAGCTCCTTTCCAACTGCTCGAGTTGTTAAAAGCCGAGCTGAGAAAACTCTACAGTGCCGCCTGTTCGTATATGCCCAGACTCCACTATAACTCAAAATCATTTAGCCTAGCCTACTTCTACTTCTTATTGACATTATTATTTTGATCATTTTTTCTCCATTTGGTTTTGATGATGATGAATCATAAATATATACATAAATGTATGTATATGTAGATGGAAAAAGCCCGTTTGTAGCCTAGACAAAAAATTCGAGTGCTTTTAATTCTTAGATATATTCCTATTTTGTATATTGGGGTAATAATTTTCGCTTTTTACTAACTCTTCGCGATGAGTAAACAAACGGTGCCCATATACACATTTACTGAATCAAACATAAAGTAATAAATTATAATTATAATTGGAGATTTAAATAAATAAATTTGTAATAATCAATATTAACAAATAATAAAATTCGATTAAAAGAAAACTTTACAGTCAGAGTTGATTTAACTGAGTGAAAAAATTTCATCACGCTTTAGTTTCTAGTATTTCTTAATTAACTGATAACAGAAATTAATACAAATCGAATCTGGAGATATTGTTTTATTATGATAGAAATTATATTTTGGTAAATTTGATTCTTTGAATGATCATTTATTCAAATTATATCTGATATCAAATACATTAACTATAGCCAATTTATATATTTATATCCAATCAGAAAAAAGTCTTAGTTTGTTTGGCTAACTAGGCTATGCTTCAAGCCTTCTGGCGACAGTGTCCGCCCCATAGTTCGGTTCCTTCGGGGCATATGGGATTCGTGTCAAGTAGGTTGCGTTCCTCAATCGATTCCGGTTGAATAATTACGGCTTTGCCCTTGGGGTCTTTAGATCCTTGAGCTTCATTGCCTTCATTCTGGTTGCGAAATGTGAAGTCTGTTTTGAAAATTGAAGCAATATTGTCATCCACTGTATTAAGTTCATCAGATTTTGGTTCGGCAGTGTTGTGATAGCTGAGATTGAATGCTTCATCATTTGCTGCATAGGCCTGCAATAGCTGCGCATTTAGCAGGGCTATCAGCAGCCAGCCCAGCGATAAGAGGCCGTCCTTAGCTTCCATATTCACGACTTCGCTGCTCACGAGCTTCTGTTGGCGTCGTTTGCTAAAGTGCGACTGAGATCAGCTCATCGAAAGGTTTTCAAATATTGTTTCCAAATCAGATTTCAACGGAACTGATATGCCGAGATCGGCTGCTCGCTCTCATATGTGCATATACATATTTATCTTATTTATACCGAGAGAACTTTCCGATTCTAGTTGCTTTTAAGAGATTGCTTTTAGTAATTTTAAGAAATTGTCTCATCAATTGATTTTGGGATATTAGCTGCGCTTAGTTTTCCGTTAGTTTCTTACACAGAAATTCAAATTATCCAGACGATTTTTTTTTCGATTTAGTCGAGACTCTGGTACAGTCCAGTTTTATTAAAATACAGTAAAAATAAAACATGTAGAGATTAATGTCCGTCTCCTATGATTTCGCGTTCTTTTCTTTAGTAATTTTTTGGATTCTTGTTGGGCTTATTTGAAAATATTAAAAAAATTCAAGTTATAGAGGTCCAGAGTAACAGCTAGTCGATCATTATTTACATCTGTTGAACAGTTCTTAGGTCTGTTAACCGGAAATAATTGATCGGTAGTACGCAAATTCAATTTATACGAATTCAATTAGCTGCAGTCTCCTAAGCCTCCTTAAGGTATCCAAGGTTAACAATATGTATTGCATTTATCATGGAACTATAAAAATATTATCAATAATAAATTGATTAATTCATACTTTGTACGTTATTCCTAATGCACTGATCATTGAAGTAAAAATAAAGCTGCTTAACCTCAAGATGCCAATCTGGAAAATGGAAAAATGAAAAGCTTTCGGAGGCAGCATTAGCATAAGCTGCAAAAGCTTCAAAGTACTCGCTGTTTTTGTACTCAATGCCCCCATAAAAACTCAAGCTTATTGCATGCGCGTTTATTATGAACCACTCTAGGCCTCCTTGCGACAATGATTTCCAAAAAGCTTAAGGCCACTTCCGCAGATGGGGAGCGTATCCAGTGTAATGCGTGGTCAGATCTCAACGGTTAGTGGATCAATTTTAGACGTTTCCTCTATGATCTCTGCGGGCTTGACGGTTGAAGGTGCTGTCTCCATGTGAAGGAGCTATTGATCCGTAGGGAGATTGTTGCTTGTGAGCTTCTTCTTTATTTGCTGCACCTGTGTACTTCTATGCAAAGCGGATCGGCTGGTCTCATTCTTTTGCAATAAGAATCTCTCTGCCAGATGTAAATCGTCCCCCGCACTGCCGCTCTCCGTTCTCATCGATTCGGCTACAATTGGAGGAGTTTTGTGTTTCAGATGAATCGTGTTGGCTGCGCACAGTGCCAACGAGAAATGCATCCACAACAACAACAACAACATGGGCACAAGGCTGCGATGCGTAAAACTGGCTTCAGATGAATTGAAATCATGTTAAAACACGTTTATTCTACCCAAATTCGCATCAAAGACTAATTGCGAAGAGACTCAGCGCCCATGCACAAGGCTGCCCAGTCTCTAATTGTTATTATTGTTGTTGTTGCTGTTCTCAGTTGTATCCGACGATAAGGGAAAACATGAAACACAAACTTGTATAATTGCATTCATAATGAGATTGCCTGGCAATAGCTTCTCGATTGTCTCATTCGCTTGAGAATCTCAAAAATGCACTCACTATAGAAAATAAGTTGTAATTGATTTAGTCATTAAGCCGAGCTTATTTGAGTCAGCTTAAAACAAGTATTTGACTATTCAGCTCGCTTAAACTTATATCCGCAGTTGCACTTACCTCAACAAGCACCCACGCATAAACACGCATGGGCTGCAGTGTGCGCTTACTATGAGAACTTAATTGTTTAATAACTTTTTTTATGGACGTACGATCTTCATGAAACTTTCACATTTTGATTATAACATGAATATGCATGTTGCCAAAGCACAAGTCTCTAGTATTTGAAATACGCTTTTTACAAAAGTGATGGTGAGGGGGTGAATTTAGAGGTGGGGGTTAATTTTAACAAAAACCGAAATTGTATAAATTGCACGTAAGCATACATTAAAAATTTGGAGACTCTAGCAATAAAGGTGTAGAAGATATAATTTTATAACTGGTTTTCGATAAGGGTTTTTTTCGATAAAAAAAAGATCGAGATGAGTTATCGATTTTTAATGATAAACTTGATATGCGCGCTGTAATTACGGACATTTAAAAAAAAATTTGAAGTCTCTAGCTCTTATATCTTCTGAAATCGACGCGTTCATACATACGGACAGACAGACGGACAGGGCCAAATCAACTCAGCTCGTCACCCTGATCAAGAATATATATACTTTGTGGGGTCTGCCACGCCTCCTTCTCCCTGTTACATACATTTCAACAAAACCATTATACCCTGATTTCCCATTGAAAATGGGTTCAGGGTATAAAAAAAAAAATAGAATGTTGCAGTGGGGTGTTACCAACTAGAGAATACTCATTCACATCCCATCAGCAATTTAGCAGCTAAGTTTAGCTCTGATACTGTAGAAAATGCAGTTTTTCCCGATTGGCCACGCCCCTACTACTCTACTCATTTATTACCAGTTCTTAAAACGAGCTGAAGTTAACGTGCCTGCAAAATTTGGAAGCCTATGGTCCAAAAATATGAAAATTATCCGCCATAGCTTTTTAGTCTTGGGAGGTCAGCCCGAGTATATATATCATATTTCAGGTTTCTAGCATCAATACTGCCGAATACCTAAATTTGTACAATGCGTATTTGAACTACTGGAGTCTTGTTTGGAAAATATACGCATATCATCGTTTTAATCATGATCTCAAAATTGCATGAAGATATTCATGCAAGTGTTGTTCCTTGAGTAAGCGGAAAAGTATTAATTTCTCGAAGGCCTCAGGAGATCTCGTAGTCGATCACTCTCAACTAGAGATTTCTAACTTGCTATATAAAATTTGATATTGTTCTTACATATATATATATATCTTTCCTTTTTTTCATTTTAGTTACTTTTCTTCTAAGGACTCCGGATAGAGCAGGATAGCTATTAAAGTACAGAGAAGTAGAAAGAGTTTCATGGAGCAAAAATGGAACTGTTTTTAGATGACTGTAGCTGATTGAATTTGTAATGGTATTAAAATAAATATTTAAATTGTTCTTACATAAAACGCCATTGGAAGACCAAATTGCCATCTGCCTGAGATTATATAAGCAGATAATTAAATAAAAGCATTTATTTCTATTCATTATATAACCATTTCGAATGCAGTCAGACACACTCAAGAATATCGCTATACGAGTATAAGCTCAACCTAATTTGATATTCTACATAGTTGAAGAAGACTAAATCTCAAACATGAAGCTCGCACTGATTCTTGTGGCCGCTTTAGCAGTCGCTTCACGACCACCTCATCCGTGGCAAGTCCCTGGCAGCGGTTAGGTCAGCACGGACTCATTCCCAAAAGTTTTCCGATAATAAAAGGGTTTGAATATTATTTTGTTGTGAATTGTATTTCATTTTTGATTTTATTGAAAGCCCTTACAATCTTATCATAGGTCAAGTACAGAGATGTCATTGGTCGAACACACCTTCTATATTAGCTACATCAGTTAGGATGAATTGATGTGTATCTCAAAATAAAAAAAAATAAAAAAATAAAATAAAAGATTGAGTATTTGCAGTTTTGATACAGAGAATTATTATTAGTATTTTATTAACTCCATGGGAGTATCCTTGCCTCTTGCAAATTTGAGGCTTCTAGCTCGTAAATTGCAGGAGATATAAACTTTTGCGGTTTGCCACGCTTCCTGTGGGCGGACATATGTCCGCCATAGCTTTTTGGTCTTGGGTGGTCAGCCCAAGATTATATATCATATTTCAAGTCTCTAGCTTCAATAGCGCAGAAATAAACTGCGTTTATACAGACAGACGGACAGCAAGACGGACATTGCAGGAAACGAATATTTTCTATACTCGTACTTGTGGTACACAAGCTAGAGGGAGTAAACAATTTATGGCTCCTATATATTATAGTAATTTTGGTTAGCTCTTATTTTAACATTAACACATAAAAAAATTTTAATAACTGAATTTACAAAATTTTTTATATTATTTCACTAGATGCGAGGAAGAGAGTTAAATACAAATTTATTTACTTTTCGTTTGGGAGACTATTTCACGAGTGAGTTCAATCAAGAGCCGCTGTGCCTCTTACTTTGCAATTCCCTAACTCAATGAACAGATAACATATGCAAGGCAATTAATTTGTCACACAAACGTAATAATTGTACGACTAAATATGTTTTTATTTAAAGAGTTAGCTCAGCCCCAAAGCGACATTGACCCGCATGCAGTTTTTGACCCGGCGGGCACTTGGCCACGCTGCCCAACACTAAGCGGTGGTCCACCGTGGGCAGCTCCGTTGTAGTTACATTGCTGCCCACCGGATGCAGCACGTCCACAGTGGTGCCGTCATCAACTATAGTACTATTGTCAGCTATAGCAATATTGTATGCTGCAGTCCTGTTATCACCCACGGTGGGGTTGTAGTCGAAGAAGTCGTCATTGGGGAACACGAGGCGATCGTCGACCACGCGCGTCTGGTCGATAAAGATATTCCAAGAAACAATGCCCAAGATCAGCATGTGTACGGCTTTCAACTGCTGTCGCGTTTGGCTGCTTTCACTGAACTTGAGAGACTGAATCGCGACGCGCATGGAGTGGATCAAAGAGCGTCCGAGCAGATTTTCGTAGTACAGGTACTAGCGATAAGAACTCAATATACAAACAAACAAAAAAAAAGCAACAGCAAAGTACATTTTAGAAGCTAGTACGCTTTACAGTTCCAAACTAGAAAGTAAAAGCTCCTTTCCAACTGCTCGAGTTGTTAAAAGCCGAGCTGAGAAAACTCTACAGTGCCGCCTGTTCGTATATGCCCAGACTCCACTATAACTCAAAATCATTTAGCCTAGCCTACTTCTACTTCTTATTGACATTATTATTTTGATCATTTTTTCTCCATTTGGTTTTGATGATGATGAATCATAAATATATACATAAATGTATGTATATGTAGATGGAAAAAGCCCGTTTGTAGCCTAGACAAAAAAATTCGAGTGCTTTTAATTCTTAGATATATTCCTATTTTGTATATTGGGGTAATAATTTTCGCTTTTTACTAACTCTTCGCGATGAGTAAACAAACGGTGCCCATATACACATTTACTGAATCAAACATAAAGTAATAAATTATAATTATAATTGGAGATTTAAATAAATAAATTTGTAATAATCAATATTAACAAATAATAAAATTCGATTAAAAGAAAACTTTACAGTCAGAGTTGATTTAACTGAGTGAAAAAATTTCATCACGCTTTAGTTTCTAGTATTTCTTAATTAACTGATAACAGAAATTAATACAAATCGAATCTGGAGATATTGTTTTATTATGATAGAAATTATATTTTGGTAAATTTGACTCTTTGAATGATCATTTATTCAAATTATATCTGATATCAAATACATTAACTATAGCCAATGTGGGTTGGGTTTTATGGAAACTTTAATATACATACATATTTATATCGAATCAGAAAAAAAGTCTTAGTTTGTTTGGCTAACTAGGCTATGCTTCAAGCCTTCTGGCGACAGTGTCCGCCCCATAGTTCGGTTCCTTCGGGGCATATGGGATTCGTGTCAAGTAGGTTGCGTTCCTCAATCGATTCCGGTTGAATAATTACGGCTTTGCCCTTGGGGTCTTTAGATCCTTGAGCTTCATTGCCTTCATTCTGGTTGCGAAATGTGAAGTCTGTTTTGAAAATTGAAGCAATATTGTCATCCACTGTATTAAGTTGATCAGATTTTGGTTCGGCAGTGTTGTGATAGCTGAGATTGAATGCTTCATCATTTGCTGCATAGGCCTGCAATAGCTGCGCATTTAGCAGGGCTATCAGCAGCCAGCCCAGCGATAAGAGGCCGTCCTTAGCTTCCATATTCACGACTTCGCTGCTCACGAGCTTCTGTTGGCGTCGTTTGCTAAAGTGCGACTTAAATCAGCTCATCGAAAGGTTTTCAAATATTGTTTCCAAATCAGATTTCAACGGAACTGATATGCCGAGATCGGCTGCTCGCTCTCATATGTGCATATACATATTTATCTTATTCATACCGAGAGAACTTTCCGATTCTAGTTGCTTTTAAGAGATTGCTTTTAGAGATTTTAAGAAATTGTCTCATCAATTGATTTTGGGATATTAGCTGCGCTTAGTTTTCCGTTAGTTTCTTACACAGAAATTCAAATTATCCAGACGAATTTTTTTTCGATTTAGTCGAGACTCTGGTACAGTCCAGTTTTATTAAAATACAGTAAAAATAAAACATGTAGAGATTAATGTCCGTCTCATATGATTTCGCGTTCTTTTCTTTAGTAATTTTTTGGATTCTTGTTGGACTTATTTGAAAATATTAAAAAAATTCAAGTTATAGAGGTCCAGAGTAACAGCTAGTCGATCATTATTTACATCTGTTGAACAGTTCTTAGGTCTGTTAACCGGAAATAATTGATCGGTAGTACGCAAATTCAATTTATACGAATTCAATTAGCTGCAGTCTCCTAAGCCTCCTTAAGGTATCCAAGGTTAACAATATGTATTGCATTTATCATGGAACTATAAAAATATTATCAATAATAAATTGATTAATTCATACTTTGTACGTTATTCCTAATGCACTGATCATTGAAGTAAAAATAAAGCTGCTTAACCTCAAGATGCCAATCTGGAAAATGGAAAAATGAAAAGCTTTCGGAGGCAGCATTAGCATAAGCTGCAAAAGCTTCAAAGTACTCGCTGTTTTTGTACTCAATGCCCCCATAAAAACTCAAGCTTATTGCATGCGCGTTTATTATGAACCACTCTAGGCCTCCTTGCGACAATGATTTCCAAAAAGCTTAAGGCCACTTCCGCAGATGGGGAGCGTATCCAGTGTAATGCGTGGTCAGATCTCAACGGTTAGTGGATCAATTTTAGACGTTTCCTCTATGATCTCTGCGGGCTTGACGGTTGAAGGTGCTGTCTCCATGTGAAGGAGCTATTGATCCGTAGGGAGATTGTTGCTTGTGAGCTTCTTCTTTATTTGCTGCACCTGTGTACTTCTATGCAAAGCGGATCGGCTGGTCTCATTCTTTTGCAATAAGAATCTCTCTGCCAGATGTAAATCGTCCCCCGCACTGCCGCTCTCCGTTCTCATCGATTCGGCTACAATTGGAGGAGTTTTGTGTTTCAGATGAATCGTGTTGGCTGCGCACAGTGCCAACGAGAAATGCATCCACAACAACAACAACAACATGGGCACAAGGCTGCGATGCGTAAAACTGGCTTCAGATGAATTGAAATCATGTTAAAACACGTTTATTCTACCCAAATTCGCATCAAAGACTAATTGCGAAGAGACTCAGCGCCCATGCACAAGGCTGCCCAGTCTCTAATTGTTATTATTGTTGTTGTTGCTGTTCTCAGTTGTATCCGACGATAAGGGAAAACATGAAACACAAACTTGTATAATTGCATTCATAATGAGATTGTCTGGCAATAGCTTCTCGATTGTCTCACTCGCCTGATAATCTCAAAAATGCACTCACTATAGAAAATAAGTTGTAATTGATTTAGTCATTAAGCCGAGCTTATTTGAGTCAGCTTAAAACAAGTATTTGACTATTCAGCTCGCTTAAACTTATATCCGCAGTTGCACTTACCTCAACAAGCACCCACGCATAAACACGCATGGGCTGCAGTGTGCGCTTACTATGAGAACTTAATTGTTTAATAACTTTTTTTATGGACGTACGATCTTCATGAAACTTTCAGATTATGATTATAACATGAATATGCATGTTGCCAAAGCACAAGTCTCTAGTATTTGAAATACGCTTTTTACAAAAGTGATGGTGAGGGGGTGAATTTAGAGGTGGGGGGTTAATTTTAACAAAAACCGAAATTGTATAAATTGCACGTAAGCATACATTAAAAATTTGGAGACTCTAGCAATAAAGGTGTAGAAGATATAATTTTATAACTGGTTTTCGATAAGGGTTTTTATCGATAAAAAAAGATCGAGATGAGTTATCGATTTTTAATGATAAACTTGATATGCGCGCTGTAATTACGGACATTTAAAAAAAATTTGAAGTCTCTAGCTCTTATATCTTCTGAAATCGACGCGTTCATACATACGGACAGACGGACAGACAGACGGACAGGGCCAAATCAACTCAGCTCGTCACCCTGATCAAGAATATATATACTTTGTGGGGTCTGCCACGCCTCCTTCTCCCTGTTACATACATTTCAACAAAACCATTATACCCTGATTTCCCATTGAAAATGGGTTCAGGGTATAAAAAAAAAATAGAATGTTGCAGTGGGGTGTTACCAACTAGAGAATACTCATTCACATCCCATCAGCAATTTAGCAGCTAAGTTTAGCTCTGATACTGTAGAAAATGCAGTTTTTCCCGATTGGCCACGCCCCTACTACTCTACTCATTTATTACCAGTTCTTAAAACGAGCTGAAGTTAACGTGCCTGCAAAATTTGGAAGCCTATGGTCCAAAAATATGAAAATTATCCGCCATAGCTTTTTAGTCTTGGGAGGTCAGCCCGAGTATATATATCATATTTCAGGTCTCTAGCATCAATACTGCCGAATACCTAAATTTGTACAATGCGTATTTGAACTACTGGAGTCTTGTTTGGAAAATATACGCATATCATCGTTTTAATCATGATCTCAAAATTGCATGAAGATATTCATGCAAGTGTTGTTCCTTGAGTAAGCGGAAAAGTATTAATTTCTCGAAGGCCTCAGGAGATCTCGTAGTCGATCACTCTCAACTAGAGATTTCTAACTTGCTATATAAAATTTGATATTGTTCTTACATATATATATATATCTTTCTTTTTTTCATTTTAGTTACTTTTCTTCTAAGGACTCCGGATAGAGCAGGATAGCTATTAAAGTACAGAGAAGTAGAAAGAGTTTCATGGAGCAAAAATGGAACTGTTTTTAGATGACTGTAGCTGATTGAATTTGTAATGGTATTAAAATAAATATTTAAATTGTTCTTACATAAAACGCCATTGGAAGACCAAATTGCCATCTGCCTGAGATTATATAAGCAGATAATTAAATAAAAGCATTTATTTCTATTCATTATATAACCATTTCGAATGCAGTCAGACACACTCAAGAATATCGCTATACGAGTATAAGCTCAACCTAATTTGATATTCTACATAGTTGAAGAAGACTAAATCTCAAACATGAAGCTCGCACTGATTCTTGTGGCCGCTTTAGCAGTCGCTTCACGACCACCTCATCCGTGGCAAGTCCCTGGCAGCGGTTAGGTCAGCACGGACTCATTCCCAAAAGTTTTCCGATAATAAAAGGGTTTGAATATTATTTTGTTGTGAATTTTGATTTTATTGAAAGCCCTTACAATCTTATCATAGGTCAAGTACAGAGATGTCATTGGTCGAACACAGCTTCTATATTAGCTACATCAGTTAGGATGAATTTATGTGTATCTCTTCAAAATAAAAAAAAATAAAAATATTAAAAAAAATAAAAGATTGAGTATCTGCAGTTTTGATACAGAGAATTATGTTGGCATCTTGCAGTGTTTAATATGACCATCCAAATTTGAGGTTTCTAGCTCGTAACTTGCAGGAGATATAAACTTTGGCGGACATATATCCGCCATAGCTTATTGGTCTCTAGCTTCAATAGTGCCGAAATAAACTGCGTTCATACAGACAGTCGGACAGCAAGACGGACATTGCAAAAAACCAATATTAACCAATTTATTTAGTTCTCGTTTGGGAGACTATTTCACGAATGAGTTCAATCAAGAGCCGCTCTGCCTCTTACTTTGCAATTCCCTAACTCAATGAGAAAATAACATATGCAAGGCAATTAATTTCTCACACAAACGAAATAATTGTACGACTAATTATGTTTTTATTTAAAAAATTAGCTAAGCCCTAAAGCGACAGCGACCCGCATACATTTTTTGACCCGGCGGGCACTTGGACCCGGAGCCCAACACTATGCGGTGGTCCACCTTGGGCTGCTCCGTTGTAATTACAATTCTGATCACCGGATGCAGCACGTATATTTTGAAGCGCGGTGGGCACTTGTTCACACGAGAAGACCTCACCCGACTCGCTGCGGTCATTGCACTCAGATATATCAGCAGCAGCAGCAGTGTGAGCAGCTGATATAGATATGCACCGGATATTATCTTCATATTGGGCAAATATCGACAATAGGCCAGCGCTACTTGACTCGAACTAAACGCTTGAACTTTCTGTCGCCATCATACCGCTGGGACTAACTACCGTACTATCTATAAATTACGCATATCATCGTTTTAGTCATGATCTCAAAATTGCATGAAGATATTCATACAAGTGTTGTTCCTTGTGTAAGCGGAAAAGTATTAAATTCTCGATAGCCTCAGGAGATCTCGTAGTCGATCACTCTCAACTAGAGATTTCTTATTTATATATATTTATATATATAAAATTCGAAATTGATCTTACATATATATATATATATATATATATATATATATATATCTTTTTTTTCATATTAGTTTCTTTTTTCTAAGGACTCCGGGTAGAGCAGGATAGCTATTAAAGTACAGAGAAGTAGAAAGAGTTTCATGAAGCAAGAATGGAACTGTTGAATAGAGTGAGTTTCCGACCAGCTCTTATACAAGATTTAGATGACTGTAGCTGATTGAATTTGTAATGGTATTAAAATGAATATTTAAATTGTTCTTACATAAAACGCCATTGGATGACCAAAATGCCATCTGCCTGAGATTATATAAGCAGATAATTAAATAAAAACATTTATTTCTATTCATTATACATATAACCATTTCGAATGCAGTCAGACACACTCAAGAATATCGCTATACGAGTATAAGCTCAACCTAATTTGATATTCTACATAGTTGAAGAAGACTAAATCTCAAACATGAAGCTCGCACTGATTCTTGTGGCCGCTTTAGCAGTCGCTGCACAACCACCTCATCCGTGGCAAGTCCCTGGCAGCGGTTAGGTAAGCACGGACTCATTCCCAAAAGTTTTCCGATAATAAATGGCTTTAAATTTTATTTTGTTATGAATTGCATTTTATTTTTGATTTTATTGAAAGCCCTTACAATCTTATCATAGGTCAAGTGCAGAGATGTCATTGGTCGAACACACCTTCTATTTTAGCTACATCAGTTAGGATGAATTGATGTGTATCTCTTCAAAATTAAAAAAAAAAATAATAATAAAAGATTGAGTATCTGCAGTTTTGATACATAGAATTATGTTGGCCTCTTGCAGTGTTTAATATGAGGCTTCTAGCTCGTAAATTGCATGAGATATAAACTTTTGCAGCTTACCACGCCCCCTGTGGGTAGACATATATCCGCCATAGCTTTTTGGTGTTGGGTAGTCAGCCCGAGATTATATATCATATTTCAGCTTCAATAGCGCCGAAATAAACTGCGTTCATACACCCAGTCGGACAGCAAGACGGACATTGCAGAAAACTAATATTTTCTATAGTCGTACTTATGGTACACAAGCTTGAGGGAGTAAACAATTTATGGCTCATATATATTATAGTAATTATGGTTAGCTTCTATTCATCAACTATAGTACTATTGTCAGCTCTAGCAATATTGTATGCTGCAGTCCTGTTATCACCCACGTCGTCATTGGGGAATACGATGCGATCGTCGACCACGCGCGTCTGAGCAGATTTTCGTAGATACAGGCACTAGCGATAAGAACTCAATAAACAAAAAAAAAAAAAAAAAAGCAACAGCAAAGTACATTTTAGAAGCTAGTACGCTTTACAATTCCAAACTAGAAAGTAAAAGCTCCTTTCCAACAGCTCGAGTTGTTAAAAGCCGAGCTGAGGAAGCTCTATAGTGCCGCCTGTTCGTATATGCCCAGACTCCACTATAATTCAAAATCATTTAGCCTAGCCTACTTCTATTTCTTATTGACATTATTATTTTGAACATTTTTTCTCCATTTGGTTCGCGATGAGTAAACAAACGGTGACCATATACACATTTACTGAATTAAACCAAAAGTAATTATTTATAATTGTAATTGGAGATTTAAATAAATAAATTTTTAATAATCAATATTAACAAGTAATAAAAATCGATTAAAAGAAAACTTTACAGTTAGAGTTGATTTAGCTGAGTGAAAAAATTTCATCACACTTTAGTTTCTAGTATTTCTTAATTAACTGATAACAGAAATTAATACAAATCGAATCTGGAGATATTGTTTTATTTATTATGGAGATATTGTTTTATTATGATATAAATTATATTTTGGTAAATTTGATTCTTTGAATGATCATTTATTCAAATTATATCTGATATCAAATACATTAACTATAACCAATGTGGGTTGGGTTTCATGGAAACGTTAAAATACATACATATTTATATCCAATCAGAAAAAAAGTCTTAGTTTGTTTGGCTAACTAGGCTATGCTTCAAGCCTTCTGGCGACAGCGTCCGCTCCGTAGTTCGGTTCCTTCGGGGCATACGGGATTCGTGTCAAATAGGTTGCGTTCCCCAATCGATTCCGGTTGAGTAATTACGGCTTTGCTTTTGGGATCTTTAGATCCTTGAGCTTCATTGCCTTCATTCTGGTTGCGAAACGTGAAGTCTGTTTTGAAAATTGAAGCAATATTATCATCCACTGTATTACGTTGATCAGATTTTGGTTCGGGAACGTTTTGATAACTGGGATTGAACTCTTCACCATTTGCTGCTACTTCTGGACGAGGCTGCAAGAGATTGGCTGTATTGCTACGTTGCGGAATTACGGTGCCAGATGTTTGAAACTCAAATTCATCATTGGCTTGTCCTTCAGGGCGTGGCTGTAAGGGCCTTCCAGTAAAGCCAGGTTGTATGTAGCTATGCTCCGATGGAGATTGGCCTCCCGGTTGGGGGCGTGGCTGCAGAGGATTTCCAGTAAAACCAGGTTGTAGGTAATCAGTATGCGACGGATCAAGGCCACCTGGTTGGGGGTGTGGCTGAAGAGGATTTCCAGTAAAACCAGGTTGTAGGTAGTTTGGCTCTGGTAGATCTTGGCCACTTGGTTTGGGGCGTGGCTGCAGAGGACTTCCAGTAAAACCAGGTTGTAGGTAGTTAGGATCCGATGGTTGGGAATTCGGTTCGGTGGGATTCCTTTGCTCGTTTTCATAATCAAGTGGATTTGGCAATGGACGCTGTTCAAAAGGTCTGGCAGGTGCGGTTTCTGGGTAACGTGACCAGACTGGATTACCGAAACCAGCTTGTCCTTGACCGTTTGCTGTTTCCGGTAGCTGACCACACACACAGCCGTATCCAGCGACTGGCTGCGCTTGGTTAGCTACGCCATCTCTCGAGTGCCCAGCACCTGCTTGTCCAGCATATACATCTCTGGCCTGTCCACCGCTGTATTGACCTCCACCAAAGCTGGGAGCGTGACCGATTTGCGCATCAGTTGGATTGTAATGAAGATTGGGATGATGTCCGTGTCTGTGATGCGAGGCATGATGCTGATATTCAAGTGGCCTAGTTCGATTGAAAGTCAGATCGTTGGGAAACATCTAATTAAACATTTGCACATACCTCTGTGGCTGAGTATAGCTCCAACGCTCACCGCTGTATGCATTTTCATGAAATCGATGGCCCGCATAGGCCTGCAATAGCTGCGCATTTAGCAGGGCTATCAGCAGCCAGCCCAGCGATAAGAGGCCGTCCTTAGCTCCCATATTCACGACTTCGCTGCTCACGAGCTTCTGTTGGCGTCGTTTGCTAAAGTGCGACTGAGATCAGCTCATCGAAAGGTTTTCAAATATTGTTTCCAATTCAGATTCCAACAAAACTGATAAGCCGAGATCGGCTACTCGCTCTCATATGTGCATATACATATTTACCTAATTTATACCGAGAGAGCTTTCCGATTCTAGTTGCTTTCAAGAGCGCACAAATACTAATTTTCAAATCAAAGAGAAGAAATTGTCTCATCAATTGACTGGGATATTATTTCTTACACAGAAATTCAAATTATCGAAGGCGAAATTTTTTGTCGATTTAATCGAGACTCTGGTACAGTCCAGTTTTATTAAAATACAGTAAAAATAAAACATGTAAAGATTAATGTCCATCTCATATGATTTCGCGTTCTTTTGGATTCTAGTTTGGCTTTTTTGAAAATATTAAAAAATTCAATTCTGGACCTCCAGTCCAAAGTAACAGCTAGTCGAACATTATTTACATCTGTTGAACAGTTCTTAGGTTTGTTAACCGGAAATAATTGATTGGTATTATGCAAATTTAATTTATACGAATTCAATTAGCTGCAGTCTCCTAAGCCTCCTTAAGGTATCCAAGGTTGACAATATTTATAATCGATGCATTTATCATGGAACTATCAAAATAGTACCAATAATAAATTGATTAATTTCTACTTTGTACGGTATTCGTAATGAATCATCATTGAAGTAAAAATAAAGTTGCTTAACCTCAAGATGCCAATCTGAAAAATGGAAAAATGGAAAGTTTTCGGTGGCAGCATTAGCATAAGCTGCAAAAGCTTCAAACTGTTCGCTGTTTGTGTACTCAATGCCCCCATAAAAACTCAAGCTTATTGCATGCGCGTTTATTATGAACCACTCTAGGCCTTCTTGCGACAATGATTTCCAAAAAGCTTGAGGCCATTTCCGCAGATGGGGAGCGTATCCAGTGTAATGCGTGGTCCGATCTCAACGGTTAGTGGATCAATTTTAGTTGTTTCCTCTATGATCTCTGCGGGCCTGATGGTTGAAGGTGCTGTCGCCATTTGCAAGAGCAAGAGCTGTTGATCCGTAGGGAGATTGTTGTTTGTGAGCTTCTTCTTAATTTGCTGCACCTGTGTACTTCTATGCAAAGAGGATCGGCTGGTCTCATTCTTTTGCAATAAGAATCCCTCTGCCAGATGTAAATCGTCCCCCGCACTGCCGCTCTCCGTTCTCATCGATTCGGCTACAATTGGAGGAGTTTTGTGTTTCAGATGAATCGTGTTGGCTGCGCACAGTGCCAACGAGAAATGCATCCACAACAACAACAACAACATGGGTGCTGCGATGCGTAAAACTGGCTTCAGATGAATTGAAATCATGTTAAAACACGTTTACTCTACCCAAATTCGCATCAAAGACTAATTGCGAAGAGACTGAGCGCCCATGCACAAGGCTGCCCAGTCTCTAATTGTTATTATTGTTGTTGTTGCTGTTCTCAGTTGTATCCGACGATAAGGGAAAACATGAAACACAAACTTGTATAATTGCATTCATAATGAGATTGCCTGGCAATAGCTTCTCGATTGTCTCATTCGCTTGAGAATCTCAAAAATGCACTCACTATAGAAAATAAGTTGTAATTGATTTAGTCATTAAGCCGAGCTTATTTCAGTCGTTGAGTCAGCTTAAAACAAGTATTTGACTATTCAACTCGCTAAAACTTATATCCGCAGTTGCACTTACCCCAGCTTATAGAATCATTGAGACCTGCATAGCTTGCGGCGCTGCCTGAAATTTTCTTGTATACTTTTTGGAGGTGTGCTTATTATACTCGGAACCAATAGGAAATCAGAGTTTACTTAAAATGTAAGTTTTAGTCGAAAAGTATACATATATGTATGAACTATACTTATTTGTATAGAAACATAAAAACTGAAATTTTTTAGAGATAAATTTATAGAGGGTTTTTTAAAAAGGGCGGGTAGATTTCGAAATGGAATAAAACAAGCTGTGTGTGAGGTATTTGTGCATATATGACATTAAGTGTGGAATATGACATCATTCAAATGCCCACCTCGGCCTCTTACGGTGGAGCGTATCCGAGTGGTCGTTCCCAAATATTACGGACCAATGACGGCGCCGGCCCAAAATCCACACCAAATAGTAACTTTTTGAGGATGCATTATCACCCGGTGAGCCTCGTGTAGATTAGTGTCCTCCCATATATCATTTCTGCAGCTGAGCTTACAACTTACTTTTCCTAGCCCCCACAATTTCATATAAGTAACTGAGTAGCTTCGCTTCTATCTCAAGATCAGGGGATCCTTTAACATATATAAATAATTATATATAATAATAATAATATACAATATTTTTGTTCTGAATTACTGGAAATATAATTAAGAATAAGAATGTATGAATCAAGTTTCATTATATGATGTAAAATGCTTAAACTAACAGCAAATTCGTAAAAGTTGAAGTTCATATTGGAAGGTAAGCTAATCTCATATACCACATTTCTCGCAAGTATAACAAAATTTTAAAAAGGCATAAATCAATTAAATTGGAAACATCATATTATATATGAAATAATGTGCTCTTAGATACTTCAAGTACTCAAGCTATATTCTTTGCAGTCAGCACTAACTTTCCGAAGATACCTTTAAATGACTCTTCTCCAGGACACTTTCGTTAAACAGTTAAAATGGACGCCTTGAGTGTGTCCAATTGAATTTGTAATGCTTATCTAATACAACCCCTTTTTTTACAGAATTTTACAAGGTTTAATTATTTAGAAATAATTTAAAGTACTACGCGTACTATTACTAATGCAAATATTTTTCCGGTGGCCAGCTATAAATACAGTGTATAGAGAATACATGTTATGAGATATTTTTTGTTGAAGTTTTTTTAAAAGGTAAAATCAGTAGACGATTTTTTTTTTTTTTTTTGAATTATTATTATTATTATTTTTTTTTTTTTCATTTATTTTTTACCTTTACTGATATACTTAACATTATATGAACAAAGATCTGCTCGACTACTTCTTGTATGTTCATTTCCTACAAAATTTAAAGAAAAATTCATTAGGCCGATTTGCATCATTTTTCATGGGTATACAGCTTTATAAATTGACCATAAAATTGCAATAATATTATAACAAGGCTGCAAATCTGATTAGAAATAGTTCCTAGAAGAACCTATAAAAGCACCGAATCACTGAAATATATTTAGTTCAGCTCCAACTTCATCATGAAGCTAATTCTGTTTGCTTTAATCTCGATCGCAATGTGCTGGTCCAGCGACGCTCTCAGCTTCATAAACCCGGACGAGAACCTAGAGCTATACGCAACTCAAGCTCGCGTCTCTAACTACCTACATGCGCAGTACCAGGCCCAGCGAGCCAAACCACTATTCAATGGACACGAGGTTTTCGATTTGCACGCGCCAGCATAAGCCCAGACCTTACGCTAGCTTATATTACTTTTTATCTAATGTAATGGGAAAATTCTAGTATAATATCAATCATATAAAACGCATGAAACCTGTTTGTCTGTTAATGGCGGCTGTTCGCGTACGAACAGAAGTCACTGTTGAGCTTTCGTTTACCACTCGTGACTCATTGAAGTACATAGCTTTTAAACTATCAATTTTGAATGTACCATCGCAATGCAAACCAGCTTCGACTTCTTTTTTGCTTCGTCTCGCTCTCTGAATTTGTTTAATAGCCTCTCTGTGAAAGCGTATAACAATCAATTCTTATCGCAAGTGGCATCTAGCAGTCCGGAGATATTTGATTCACTCAACCAACGTGAGTCTCCAGGCCCTATTACCTAGAATTAATTCAATTCTTAAAAATCTGCCATCAATTAACAGTAAGATTTCATTTATACAACAGCTGATATATTTATGATATAAAATTTTGTTTATTTAGAGAAAATGCTCTTCTCACATATTTTATTTTAAACGGCTTATTGATATACATATCTCTTATGAAATGGAACTTACTTTTATCAATATAACATAAACAAAGCTGTACTATATTCTTAAATTGATTTGACATAGTACATTGAGTGGGAAAATGATGTTTAATATGGTAATTAAAGAGTTAAATCAAGCGATGCTAATTAGGAATTACATAAGCTATTCAGGTCTTAAATAAGTGATTTATAGTAAATGCGTGTACATAATGTTTGTATATTTTATACTCATATATGTAGGTATGCATATAGTATATATGGCGTAACTATAGATAACCTTATTCAGTTATTTATATAGTTATTTTCCTATTACTTTTTCCTACTCTCTCTCTCTATATATATAAGCATCATATATAATTGAGTTCGAACTAAATTTCACAAAAATATATAGGTAGCACTTTTATAAAGTTACGTCTTTACATATTTGTTGTCTACCATTCTAAAATCCAGTTCGAGTTCAAGTGAATTTTCTGCTCTCTTTCAGTGCGGTTTTTATGACGTAACCTGAGCCGCTCCTAATAAATGTCAGCTATTTAGGCTAATAATTTTGGCAATTCTATTGTCAGGCCTTTAGGCCTAAAAGGCAGTCAACTACCCTTGAGACTTGAGTTCGTAGACATAAATGTCAGCCTCATAAGTAGATGTAAATTCATTTTTTGCCGGAGAGAGAGGGAGAGAGAGAGAGAGTAAGGACAAAGGACAAAAATAGCATAATTTTTGAAGGTCTGACAACCGTGGGTTAAATGCTGCTGCTGCTGGAAAAAACTTTGCGCGGCATTCCAAGTATATAAAAATACATTAAAATAATGCGTGTTTGTCACACCGACAGCTGATGCAAGACACCAACTGAGGGAAGATCTGCCCGAGTACATCTCGTACGTTCATTTATTTATGACTAGCTACAATACAACAAATGGAATGGCAGCAACAGGAGCTGCCGAATTTATGCAAAATATATTTGTATGTGTGTGCCAAATAAAAGGCGCAAGTCAATAGAACGAATATTTTATGCGGAAACAAGCCACGGCTTACCAGGTAATTGCAAGTCACTCTGAAGAGAGTCGAGACCTAGCCAGAGGGGTGGGTGGACGGAGAGTCTTTTGTCTCTGAGCGCGGACAATGGATGCGTCTGTTAATCAGCGCAGCTTTGCCAAAGTAATCAGTAAATATTTGCAATTTTCTTTGCCTTTTGCAGGCAGCATTTTCTTCATTTTCATAAAAAGCAAACTTCAATTTAGCTGCCTTCCATTTGGCATTGATTGTGTTCAGAACTTTTTAAATGGGAAATACTACAGATAATTTAAGATTTATTTGAAATTTTAAGTCAATATAAATTTAGTTAACTTATTGTAATACTTTAAACTAAATTTTAAGATCCCAAAGGCCTATTTTAATCAAACAAAGACTATCTCTTTAAACTCTTTTGAACAGCTTTAGCCTTACTCCGTTCAAGAAGAGCGCGAGCATGAACAGTTTTATCTTTGATCTATTGTGAAGCAGAGGCAACCTTGAGCAACATCTATTATTATTATGCTTATTTCGAAGAGCTCTCAGCCATGTGCCTTAAATGGTCGCAACTGCTTTCGGAATTGGCCAACATTTGCGTACATAAATTAGGTAAAAGCTAAACCGTTCAATTGCCATAGACTCAGTTAACTTCGAACAGCAGTCGAAGAAGTGTGTTCAACCGAAATAGATCTAAATATGTTCCAAGAAATTTTCCGTGCCGTCGTCCGTTTGATTTTATTGCTAACACTTTGCCAATGCGCCGCAGCCATGGATAGTGAAATCGTCGAGGCGAGCCTAAGTGCAGCAAGTACCAACATGCCCGAGTTGCTAACGCCGGAGTGGAGCCCCAACGACACCGTTCTTGTGAAGCCGTATAATATACTGGAGGCCAGCTGCCCACCGGGCTATATTCTGGCTAATAAACACTGTCATAAACGTGTGCGAGATGCCCCAACTATGGAGTAAACTTAGAAAAGCTATGAATATAAATAAATTATATTTGTTATTTGTAGAAAGCTCTAATTGGCTGTAATGTTGAAAAGAGTGACGAGCACTTATTTTATGAATTTTAAAAGTAGATAGATTAAATATAAATAATAAAGCAAAGAAAAGAGAGATTAAAATAAATATAAATGATTTATTATAAACTAAAACCATGACATTTGAAATGTTCGTCAGGAATAGTACTGACAGCAGCCACTGTTAGAAACATTTCGTAGTTGATGATGTTCTTCTAAAAGCCCAATTTGAGTATATGAACAATTGCTGTCCCCCACTGTTCGCCCCATTCGAATGGGGCCGCGTCGATGGCTTTATTTATGTTTGATCTGAGCATAGATAATGTTAGACCGCAGTCGGTGCTAAGGACAGGGCACAAACAATCCCCCTCGAGTGATATGCAGACAGTGGCTGCCATTAGTTAGAAGCCCATTAACCAAAAATGCAATCGGCCATCGCGTTGGACACCCGGACGGACCCATGTCCAAGCAACGTGCCGCTACGTGCAGTGCGCCTGTCCACGTTGCCGTCATTTACAGGTAGCAGCTGCATTGACAGCCAGTCGACAGCAGGCGCTGGGCTCAGCTTGGCCCACTGGGCGCGTTTTGCGGCATATTAATTCATGCCATAAAATATGGCTACACTTTGGGCAGCAGCAGGAGCAGCAGGAGCAGGAGCAGGAGCAGCAGCAGCAGCAGCAGCTGAAACAGCGCCAGCGAAATTGACAAAGTCTCGACGTAAACGTTACAGGCTGGGAGCACCAAAGGGTTGGAGGACGCCGCGCTGAATGAGTTAATTAAGCGCCTCACGGCCTGTAGCATAATTTCAAGTCATTTATCAGTGACATTTTCGGCCTGAGGACAGGAAGGCAAATGTAAATTGGCTTAGATCATGGGACTAACAATGCAAAGTGGCCAAATGGCCAAATGGCCACATGACAGTGGCCAGACAAAACATGGTAGCTTCATTATAGCATGCTGTGTTTATTGGGTGTGCAACATTTACATGTCCTGGCCCAGCGGATTATTTAGCCAGGGATAGACAGTTGGGCACTTGTCGCAGACGCTCATATAGCGCGCCTCGGCAGTGGAAATCTTCTGGACATTGCAGTGCACGGGCTGGCAGGTGGTGTTGGGCGTCTTCTCGCAGCTCTTGAAGGGCCGCCCAAGCACTGGCTTCCTCACGTACTCCAGCATGCGGGACACGCTCGTCATGTACACATCCGGATAGGTGGTCAGGTGCTGCATGAATCTGTGTGGAGGGGGAGTGAGTGGAGTTTTGCAAATGGCATTTGCTTCACATACTTCTTGAAGGCGCCAAAGTAGTTGCGGCCGCGTGAAAACCAAGCTGCATGCAGGTACATGCCGAATGGCGCCCGGTTGCCCTTGTAGTGGCGATTGAAGTTCTCCAGCATCCACTCGAACAGGGCGTCCACATCGTCTGCGGGCGGATAGGCGCAGGCGTCGATCATTGAGCAGCTGTAGCCCTCGGTGTCCGTCCACGTGACCATGGGGTTGACCCAGACGCCGGGCAGCGCAGCATCAGGACATGGGCCGATCTGGCAGTCCTGTATGGACAAAAAGTCCAGTGTGTAGGGCCACATTGCCGGACTCTTGTGCTGCTGCGTCGGCCAGGAGCTGTCGTAGGTCAGACCCAGATTCTTGATCGCCTCGAAGCTGTTGTTGCCAGAGATCTGCAAGAAGGGCAGACGCATGCCGTGCACTCTCTTTGGATCCACCTTGGCGAACGCCTCCAGCATCTGCAGCTGTGCCCCAAACTCGCGCTCAATCGTCTCCACATCCGCCTCGCGCCAGTAGTCGGTGCCATCGCCGTGGGTCACCGAGTGCAGGGCTATCTCATGACCCGCATTGTACAGGGCATTCACACGCACGTAGTCCGTGTACTCGTGCGATACGAAGAAGGTGCCCGTCGCGGGGCAGCCATCCGGATTGACCAGACCATTGAAGAGCAGCTCGTATTGGGCATAGTTCACAGCATTCACTGCATCGTCAAAGGTGATGGTAACAAACTGATGGATGGCAAGACTTTAGATGGTGCTCTCTATCTATCTCTATTAAGTATGTTTCTCTCTTCCTACAGAATATGCAATATATAACTTTTCATTGACGTAGTAGAAGTTCTTTTTCTCCTAGTTCTGTCAGTCAGACAAAAATACCTTTTATATTACAATATAATCGAATACGATTCTTTAGGAATTTATTAGAAAGGCATGAAATGAGAATGTAACCCGAATTATGGATAACAAAGTCTACTTTTGAAAGGCCACTAAGCCAACTCCTCAGTTATAATTTCAATTGATTTCAACCTGTCTGTGGTCAACTCACCTGGGGAATCTCTTGTTCCTTGCCCTTGAATTTGGGCTTCGGTAATGTCGCATCTGAGCAACGGCAGTCGGGCAGTTTGCATTTGGCAGGTGAGCACGGCTCAGCTTTCAGCAGCAGCTGCTTCTCCACCTGCGGGGCTACGGTAGGTTTTGTCTTGTTCTTTGACTTGGACTTGGTCTTCGTCTTGCCACCTTGGCTCTGGCCCTCGCAGAGCAGGGCCGTGGCCAGCAGCAGCCCAAGTACAAATAGAGTTGCGAATTTCATGCTGGATCTACCAACGTCTATAACGTATGCCAGTTGACTCTCAGAAATTGCGCCCAGCACTCTGGCTTTTATAACATGGCCTGGCCGTTGGTATCTTATCGAGATGTGGGTGAAAATATGATTTACTTGTTGAACATGGCTGTGGCTATTACCGTTGGGTGTGCCTACGCTCCGAACTAAATATATGTTGCGATGTTGTATCGGAAATGTTTTCGCATACGGCGCATGTGAGAGCATATTGGGAGCTGAGCTGAGGGGAGTTCACCGAGGAAAGAAAATAAAGACAGGCTGAAAAGGGCTTTGACATAACTGATGGAATACAATTTCTTCTCTCTACTCTCTTCTTCTTGCATATTTATTTACTTTTGTTTCTGTGGTCTTAAAGCTCTTAAGTGGATGACATGCGTATTAATAAATTATTCAAATAATAATGTATGTACGCATTAGGCTGGGAGAAGGATGGCTTTTGGGTTACCTGAGTCCTTGAGCTCAAGTGTATTCGAGCTGCCTCAACTATAAACTGATAATTCCAGGAATCGCTCTCGAATTGCGCATTCCAGCCCAGCTAGGGTGAACGAGGACAAAACTTGGCTCATTAGCATAGCCAAAGTGAAGAACTTAACAGCTGAGATTTTGCGCCAGTGGCTCGAGTGGAAAAGTTTGTGCCGGCAAATCGAAGCGACTGCAGGCAGCTTCAAATTATGACAAGCCCAACAAATGCACTTGAAATCGTAAACAAGTGCTTCAAAACTTCTGTGGCACGACAGAAGCTCTTAGAACAAAGCCAGAAATCGTATTTGAGTGCCTACCCAACCAGCCAGCCAGCCAGCCACCCGCCCCCAAGCGACGCCCAAGCTGTCCCTAAGTGACGGCCAATCAGAATGCAAAATCCGAAGAGGCAAAAGTCAGACGGCGGCTGAAATTGGCGAAATTCATCTTAAAGGAAGCTGCAGCTGCAGCTTGTGCTGGGCCGATGGCTGGATTGTTGGATTGCTGCAGCAACAGGAGCAGCAGCAACAACAGCCACTGCAGCGATGCGGATTTCTTGGCACGCTTTCGCCGACTGACATGGTGCACGCCTACAATTCATTTCAGTCACGTTCCGGGGCGTTGCCGGCAGGGGTAGGTGCCCCACGTGCCGCAGCCAGCCAACCAACAGGCGGCACTCGTCAGGCCGACAGCAGCAGCAGGAGCCGACAACGCCAAACGAGAAACTCTCGGCTGCCAGGCGGAAGTGAGCGACAGCCACCTCCAACTACACAGTTCAACAACTCCAACAGCAGCACCACAACCACCACCACCACCAGAAGAGCTGCTCGTGCAGTTCGTTGTTGGAGTTGTAGGGGCAATGCAACATGTTTGAGTGAGTTCGATGCCTGCGCCCATGTGACGTATGCGCAATGTGTCAAATGGACGCCCCTGCCCCCCAGCTCGTCCCCAGTTCGTCGGAAGCACTCGCAGTAATAAAGATTGAGGGCAGCTTGAGAGCCAAAGAGTTGATTGAAATTTGATTGACAGCCCGCATGAATGAAGATGAATCTTTGCAACTCATAACTGAACCGAATGCAATGTTCTAGTTGCCCCCGCTCTCTGTCTCTCCCTCTCTCTCTCTCTCTCTCTTGCCTACTCATTAGTTGCCGGCGCGTCAGAGCATGAAATCAAAGCGAAAATTGAGTTGCCTGGGGCATGGGGCACACACGAGCGTCTCACGTGTCCCAAACTGCTTTAAAATGGAAATTTCTACAGCTAATACGATTGTAGCTCATATGCGTGCCAAAGATCTAACTCAAGGTTCAGAGCTCACGCACGTCTGAGCCACCCAGCAAAAACTACAAAGTGGGTGAGAGCGGCGGCTATGTGGCTTCGGGTTTGGGTGGTTGCTTGCTGTGGGAATTGAGCATTGTATAGCTGCTCCAGAGTTTGCCAATTTCCGCGATAATCACACAACTAATTTGCATAGCGAGCGAAATGGAAGCAGAGCACGAAATCTACGCTAATCAAATCAGGCGAACGCACAAATAAAAACCTAGTTAAATACATTTAGAATGCCCTGCCAAGACGAAGGCTATGCTGGCTTTAAGATATAGTTTGACTCACAGTAATTGTTTGATATAAAATTGTCAATGTAGTTATAAAATATCAAACAGCTGTCAAAGTTATCTAAGTATTTAGATATATCCATGTAGTGCGCTTGAAAAATTAATAAGACTTTTAATAACGCAGAGTAGTATTTAAGTATTTATTTTTTAATTATTATTATTATTTTTTAATTTTATATCAAAAATTTGGCTAGAGTTCTGTTTGCATGTATTTATTATAGATTTAAATTAGTTAATAGTAATTAGAGTATTCACTGATCTGAATTAAATTATTTGCTTAAAATTACAAGTGTAATATATAATATAATAATTTAATAATAATACTATAGTAGCACTATAGGCTCGTAATAATTTAAGAAATGGGAGAACACATAATAAATCATTATAATGTTA